CAGAAGGTGCTACACTGCTGGCTCTGAAGATTAAGGAAGGGATCATGAAGGCGGACTCTAGAGGCTCTAGACGCTGCCTTAGAGCTTCCAGAAGGAATTCAGCCAGTTCACTTTATACCTCTGAACCCCAGGACTGTAGGAAAGTAAATGTGTGTTGCCTTATGCCACTAAATTTATGAAAATCTTTGATGCAGCAGCAGCCGTGGCTAGCATTTCCCACAGGTAAGGTCTTCCGCTCCCATGAGTGCCCCAGCATGGACCCACCCCACTGCCTCCACCAGAGTTCAGCACATTTGGGGTCCCACCAAGTGCTCTGTAATTAAGTCTCCCTAGATTGTTCTCAAAACTACCAGAGGTGGACCTCCCTGGTGGTGCAAGGGGTTAATGTCAGCACTATGAAGCTATCTGCAGCCACTGCAGTCCAAGTTTGATCCCCAGCCAGGGAGATGACCCACATGTATGGCAGACCTCTCCTGTCTCCCTGCTGCTCCCCCCTCAGCAGTGTATTTCAGTCAATCTGCCTGTTCTGCTCCCTACCCTGTGTCTGGTGAATCCTTCTACCCCCTCTCCCCCACCACCCCCCCCCCCCCATAAACACGCCTCTGGCCTGCCTCAGCTCTTGTATGCATAAATAAATAAATCTTAAAAAAAAAAAGTGCTACCTCTGGGTCTTACGCTAACATTGACCAGCGGCTTGCCTCATAGATATGCTGGCCTGTGGCTTGGTGGGTAAAGTGTATGTTAGACCTGTACTGAATGCCAACTTGACCATTCCCTAGAGCCATGACCTTGAGCAGGTCCTTGAACATCTCCAGAGATGAGGTGACCAGGGGTCCTGGGCAGGGCGGGGGAGGGAGGATATTCCCAGGCCACAGGTTGGGGAACGAATCAGCACACAGCCCATGGGGAAGATCAGCCCCAAAAAAACATGAGCTATAGTTAGAGCACCTCTGGGAACATCACTCAGTGCCTGCAAGCAGGCCCCAACCTTCAGTAATCAGGTCCCCCCCTCTAAATCTCAGGAATGAAGATAACACAAAACCATCCCTGTTTTGCTTGCCAGGGCCTGGGTTTGACTGTATCTTCTTCCCAAAGGCACTTGACCAGGCACTTTTTGTTGTTGACTTCGAGAATGGCAGAGCTCCAGACACCCGTGGTACCCAGAGCTGTTAAAGTTACCCGTGGCCTTCTGAGCAAAGACGTAAGTAAATCCAAAGATCATGCAATTGAATGGCAAGGATAAAATTAACCTTTGTCTCTCCATTTTTCCATTACCAATCTGTGCCTGTCATTTCTGCCCCCTCTCTGGTTTCAAATACACTCTTTTGAACACACCCTGCATTTATTGCTAATCTCCATACATGTTTAGTTAATGTTTCATGAGAATATCTATCAATGGAGTTTGTGTTCCCCGCTGTGGTTTCAGCCTCATGCTTGAGTCTCCAGGTAAAGAGAACGTAAGAGATGGGAGATGTGATTGCCAGAGAGGAGGCAAGTGCAGTTTCAAGATAACCCAAGGCTGCTTTTCAAGTTCTGTTAGCATTCACTGCCGACACAAGTTCAGACAACAAACAGCTTTGGTCTCTTCGAACCAGGAATCCACCTCCAGAAGAGAGATTTGTCACCTACAAGACTGTTAATCAACACCGTTTCAAATGTTTTTCTTAGAATTATTTATATCTATACAGACACACATCATAACAGAATATACGCCATGTGGGCTGTCAGATACCTATTACAACCATAGAGCTTGTGCCCTCTATATTTACTAAGTAATTATAGTCATTAAAATCACTTATTCCACATACAGTCAAATAATAGGGCCCTCCCTGGTGGCGCAAGGGGTTACAGTGCAACACTATGAAGCTGTCCACAGTCACTGTAGCACGAGTCCATCCCCAGCCAGGGAGCTGACTCACACAGTGCAGCAGACCTCTCCTGTCTCGTCCGCTGCTCCCCTTAACAGTGGATTTTAGTCCATCTGCCTGTTCTGCTCCCCACTCTTGTCTCTGGTGAATCCTCTCAGCCCCACACCTCTGGCCTGTACCTCAGTTCTTGTGCACATAAATAAATAAATCGTTAAAGAAATAGAACAAATATCATGCTGATTTTAGCCCACAGGTGGTAGCTGGAGAGACCAGATGATCAAAGATGTGATTTCACCCACGGGGGAGCTGTGAGGATAGACCATGAGCCTGGCTCTATGGGCGTTTGTGTGTATGAGACAGATGCCCAGGGGGTTTGGAGCAAGTGCCTGGATGCCTACAATGGCTGCTCTGACGGTTCAGGGGAGAGGTGTCTGTCCATAGATGTGGAAATGTGAGTGATTTGAGAATCTAGATGAAAGGAAAGTTGACATTTATTGACTATTCTTGCAATTTTTCCAAAGATTTAAAATTTTTTAAAAAGGCATTGAGCCTGGCCCTCCCTGGTGGCGCAGCGGGTTGGAGCACTGCACTGAGAAGCTAAAGCCACTTCCGCATGAGTTCGATACCCGCCTGCCCCGGAGGGGACCACAGGGCGCGGCAGACCTCTCCTGACCCGCCCGCTGCTCCCCTCAGCAGTGTACTTCGTCAATCTGCCTGTTCTGCTCCCCACTCTGTCTCTGGTGAAGCCTCTCGCCTGTAACCCGGTTCTGTATGTACAAATAAATAAATCTTTAAAAAAAAAAAAAAAAGGCATTGGGCCCTCCCTGGTTACACAACAGGTTAAAGCACAGCACTATGAAACTATCTCAGGCACTGCATCACAAGTACGATCCCCGGCCAAGGGGTTGACCCATATGATGTGGCAGACCTCTCCTGTCTCGCCAGCTGCTCCCCACAGCAGTGCATTTCAGTCCATCTGCCTGTTCTGGTCCCCGCTCTGTCTCTGGTGAATCATCTTACTCCCCTCATCTCTGGCCTGTACCCCAGTTCTGTATGTATAAATAAATAAATTTTAAAAATAAATAAAAAGGCATCAGAGGAAAAAGGTATTTCCTGTGACAGTTGTTCAACAAAAATCACTTCTTCCCCCAAAAGTCAGAAATTACCTCCAGTCTTGATTAAAATGCATTGCCAAAATAAGAATATTTTGGTGTGAAATCATGCAAGTATAAGCAAAATGCCTATCTTTAAGAAGTGAGTTAACACATAATTTAGTACCGACGCATTTCACGTCAAAGAATGTAATAAAAGCTCAAAAAACTTATGTAAGACAGAAAGGTGTAATAAAGGTTCAGGATCAGTGGGAAGCCTTGAGGGAACCCTGAAAGATTTCACATTCAAGATAAGTAAGCCCCTAGCATTTTAGAGCTGAAAAGCATTAGGAAGAAATAGTCCAATATTTCACTCTTCAATTTGTCCGTGATATGATTAAGTGTCAGAGAAAATTACCAGAGTAGAAGTGTACAAGGGTTTAAAAGCTGATGAGTGCTTTTAACATTGATCTGGAACCCCTTCTTGCAACAGATCAATGTTCTCTGGAAACGTCCTAGTTCTTTCATAGAACTCGCTGCAGAAGAAATAAATGTTATCTCCAAGTTTAAATCCTTGTGATTGCAAAAAGGTGGAAGCATGTCCAGTGGAATAAAAGTAAGTCAAATGTGTTCACAAATTTTTAGAATGATTAACAAAATCTAGTAAGTAAGGAAAAAGATAACAAGTAGAAAGCAAGACAAAGAACAATAATGAAAAAGGTAAAAGCTGACTATGTTCTTGATAATCTCGCTTCACCAAGTAGAACCACAAATCATTATGTTGCTTCTCTCCACTGTTTCTCAGTGATATTCACATTAAAAAAATGAATATTCTTTCATTCATTTATTCAATTATGTATGGCCCTAATATGCACAAAACTTCAGAGGTTGTACAGTAATTTTAAAAACTTTTTTCTGGCTATAAAGAAAATTATTGCTCAAGCCTAAATGTGCAACTAAATTGAAAAATAAAATATACTGACATTTCTGATATGTGGACAAATACCATTCTATATTGGAGGGGAAATATACTCTAAGGGGAAAGTCAAGCTGACTCTTGGGACTCTGACCCACTAAGCAATCGCAACCTTTATTGGATCTTGCCCTTAATTAGGAGGTTCGTGCCATCTTACACTTGGGTTTCAAAAATCATTAATAATTACCCTTAAATGACAAATAAAAGGAAGATTTTATAGTCAGGGTGGTGTGTCGGTAAAAGCTATAAAAGTCTCACATCCTGTTAAGCTCCTCACTGCTATTGGGTCCTTCTAGCTGCCTCTCGTGGGACAACCAGGTAAGGCGAGTCTAGGACTATGTGGAGCTCCTTCTGCTTGCACTGATACACTGCTTCCTTCCTTCCTTTATTTTTTAAAGATTTATTTATTTATGCGTAGAAGAACTGGGGGACAGGCCAGAGGTGTGTGGAGGGGGTGGGTTAGGGGATTCACCAGAGACAGAGTGGGAAATACACTGAGGGGGCGAAGCAGGCATATAGGAGAGGTCTGCTGTGCCATGTGGGTCAGCTCCCTGGCTAGGGATGGAACTGGTGCAGCAGTGGCTGTGGAGAGCTTCATAGTGCTGCGCTTCAACCTGTTGTGCTACCAGTGTGGGCCCCCTGTTTCCTTTAGAATGGTGTAAAAGATAAAGGTCTGGAGAGAAGGTGGTTTTGTGCCATCAAATATATTACGAGTAATATCTTACGAGATCTTAGCAGCTAGAACCTGTGGCCAGCCATTCCCCAAGACCAAAGCCACAGAATGCAGACTGGATACACAAAACGTGGTACTGGGGGCTATATCCGTACACACATACTGGAAGAACAGTGTCTAAGATGAGTTTTAGAGCACGCTGGCAATTATAGGTACAGTGGTTCTCTCCCCCTCTCTTCTCTTCCCCCTTTTCCGTCTCTCCTCTCTCTCATTTTTTTATTCGCCTCCATCCATGTCAATGGGACAGACCAATGGTACTTCAATCCTGCCGGTAATCTTCCCTTTGGCTTTTTGGTAAATTCATTTCTCCCCCAAACCTGCAGGACACCAAAATGAGTGTCAAGTCTGCCGAAGAACTGAAGAACATTTTTGCAAAATATGCTGCCAAAGAGGGAGACCCTGACCAGCTGTCGAAGGAGGAGCTGAAGCTGTTGATTCAGAATGAATTTCCCAGCTTACTGAAAGTGAGTGGCCACCTGCGGAGCCCTGGGAAGCAGACCTCTGCTGGTGGCAGGGGGTTGAGGGGACACGAAAGGGCACCGGGAGAGGCTAAGGTGTGTGACATGAACCTGCACAGGACCCGAGGTGCGGGGGTCACTGGAAGGAGCACTCAAGTGTGTACTGTGCCTCCCCTGCTGGCTGGCCATGTTGCGCAGGGCAAGTTCCTGGTTTCTATCCCCACACACTCCAGGCTTGGCAGGACCATCCAGGACCAGCCACGGTCAAAGGAAACACAGGCTACCCTCACCACACCTGGCCTACAAATAACACATTCAAGTCTGCAGCACATCTGTGCCAGACTTTAGGAAAACCGAGAGGTCTGTAAAATGATGTTAGCTCACCTCAGCCACTCCTCGCTGTCCCAGGTAGGATGCCTCAACAAGGCCAGTCCTTCGCTGGCAGCCCGTTAGAAAAATCCATTTTAAAGTTGACAAATTGACCTCGGTGGACACCGTTTATATTTCAAAAGTATTTGTATTTATTTGCGTTAAGCATCTAAATCTGTTAATGAGGCAACCAGGCATTTCTAAACAACTTTTAGGAAAGGATTAAATTTCCTCAGCCATAAAGTTTCCTGTCAAAACCATCCCAGAGTTGTCAACATCAAAATGCACCTGGAGGCAGGCAGGAACAGGGAAGGCTTCGCTCTCCGTTCTTTTTGCTTTTAGCTAAAGCTATCTTCAGCTGGGGAGCAACAGCATAATTGTCATAGCTGATGTGGCCACTATTTAGCAAAAACTCCAGAAAAAAGCATTTGCTTCCCAGTTGCTTTTTTTTTTTTTTTTAAATTTATTTACTTATTCATACAGAACTGGGGTACAAGTCAGAAGTGCAGGGGCAGTGAGAGGATTCACTAGAGACAGAGCGGGGAACAAAACAGGCAGATTAACAAAGTATGCTGCTGAGGGGAGCAGCGGGTCAGGAGAGGTCTGCCACACCATGTGGCTCACCTCCGGGGTGGGTGGGGATCAAACTCATGCTGAAGTGGCTTTAGCTTCTTAGTGCAGTGCTTTAACCAGCTGCGCCACCAGGGAGGGCCCTGCTTCCCAGTTTTTACTCAGAAACGTGCCTTCTGCCAACACATGTGAGTGTTGGTTTTAGTTGTGGAGGTTTCCAGTTTTAGGCCATAAAACAAAAGCAGCTGAATTCATGACCTTATAATGTGATCTCTACTCATGTTCTTATAGTTAAAACATAAGATAACTTTGGAAAAGTTAAAGAAGCTAGCAAGAAAAAACACAATTAATTTTTTTAATTAGCATTTTTGTCAGAATTTAACCTGAGAAAGGCTGACTTCCAAAAACTCTTACTTTTCCAAAAGGAAGAAAAAGCATCATAATAGGTAAGAATAATCCTAAAAGGGAGAAATCTAATAATAAAAGGAAAATAATTAACTGACGGGAAAGTTTAGGCCATTGATGCAAGCTGTTCTTAAAGGTAAGGCTGGTGAATTGTTCTTTCTGTATCTATTTTATGTGCTTCCAATAAAAAGCACATATGACTTACTTACAATTTGGATAATGGTGGGAGACTAAAAGAAAGTTCGAGTACTCTGCTCACTAAGTAATATACCTGGTTATGTTTCCACTAGGCTCACTAATGTTTTCCAAGCTATACTCCATTGACTTCTCACCTCATCTGCTTTCAATTCTAGCACATGCTCCAGGAGAAGAGTGTTTGGTATTTATAAAACAGATGCTGAGTAACTAACAGTTTGGTCTTAGGAGGAATGACAACAGGCCAAGTTCCTCTGTAGAAATCTTAGGCCGTGAAGCATTCCCTGTTGTAGCAATCTATTGCACACAACAGGAACACACTTACACTACGAACCGCACACTTTACACTTAGGTAGTTAAGATAATAGAGTTTATGTGAGGTGTTTGTTAGCACAGTTTTGTTTTGTTTTGTTTTTTTAAATTTGAAGATGACTTATAAATGGGCTTTACTACTCTAAGTAGGATCTATGGACAAGACCAACACTTAGTTGGCAGTCTTGAGAAAATCAATTTGCGGGACTCACCCTATTTCTGTGTGTGTGTGTGTGTGTGTGTGTATGTATATATGCATCAGTATGTAGTTAAATATCTATTCGTACAAAACATATATGCTACCTTATAAACTCTACTGTTACATCAGATACACCTGTACCTGAAAGTCAGAGTTGTAATGGCTTTAAGATTTGAATTTTATGGTAGAGACAAAAAGTAAGTCGGCTTCAAAAATGGCTGACCTGTAGTGAAAAGGGAGTTGAGCTGGATATAAGGGCTTCATGTATCGTCTCAAGTTGGGGTCTCCAAGCAGGGTCAGCCCTGGTCTAGTAGCTGAAAGAACAGACTCTTGGGCCCCACCCCAGACCTGATGAGTCAGAATCTCTGGGAATAGACTTGTCAATCTACTCAGGCTACCAGCCAAAGTCATCTTGCATGGCACAGAGGTGAGCCCAGCCCAGGGTGTGGGATCTACTGGGATGCTTGCTGGTGATGGAGTTGGGCTCGTGAGTCCATGTGCAAACCCGATGCCCTCAACTTGTTAGCCGTAGGCCCTGGACCAAGTCAGCGACTCTCACAAAGCCTATTTCTCCATTTGGAAAGTAAAGCTTTTCCACAGGGTGGGTGGAAGGGCTGCAAGAGCTATAGTAAGCCCTAGGCAACCAGCTCCCTGGGAATCCTTGGGGCAGGGTCCTCAACTATTTATGGATCCACGCTCCCTGACGTCCCCAGCAGTCTGATGTAGTACTTGGCCTCCTCGTCAAAGGAATATTTTTAGAATAATACCTAAGACTATCTAGGAAATCAATTAGATTAGAATACACAGTAACAATATTGAAGTAACAGGGCCCTCCCTAGTGGTGCAACAGTTTGGAGTCCAGCACTGAGAAGCTGGCTGTGGCCGCTTCAGAGAGAGTTCGATCCCCGCCCCAGAGGTGATCCACATAGCGCAGCAGACCTCTCCTGTCCCACCCTCTGTGCCCCTCAGCAGTCTACTTCGTCCATCTGCCTGTTCTGCTCCCCACTCTGACTCTAGTGAATTCTCTCATGGCCCCTGCAACTCTGGCCTGTACCCCAGTTCTGTATGCATAAATAAATAACCAATATTGAAGTAACAAATGTTGGAGGGAGTAAAAAAATAGCCCATTCTGTGGCATGTAGCAGTAACACCACAGCTAGAGTCAGTTTGTCCACTAACTACAAGCAGCACATGACCAAAAACTCAGCAGACTTCTTGGAACACAGACCCAGTGCCCCAAATTTCAGAGAATCGAATGTGTAACAGGAATGGATTCATTTTCTCTCCTCTCTCCATCCTATCTTCTTTGCCCAAAACCAGGGCCCGAGCACCGTAGATGAGCTCTTCCAGGAACTGGACAAGAATGGTGATGGAGAAGTTAGCTTCGAAGAATTCCAAGTGTTAGTAAAAAAGATAACCCAGTAAAGGAAAAAACCAGGCATCAAAAGAAGACCATCTGGGATGTGGGTTTATCCTACGTGAAATTGCTGATGTCTGTTTAATTCTTTGCAATTAGAATGATCTGGCCACCTAACTATTGCTAATAAAGAAATTCTTGGATATATCTGTCACTGTGTCAAGTGAAAGATAAAATGTAAAGTAACTTTGGTCTGATTTACCTCATTGTGTAGATTTAAGAAAAAGAGGACCAGACTCATTCTACAGTCTTAACCTTGGAAAGATTTCTGATGTACCAAACCCACCACCCCTCACTCCATTCTTCCACCAGAATAAATCTGTTCCTAGCTCCCCCTGCCCAAATCAGAGCTCAACTCATTTCCAAATTCAAAACGTATTGTGCTCTAGCCAACAGCGAGGGAGAAACAGGCGTCCCAAAACAAACCCATATCTTGCGCATCATCTCCCAGCATTCACTGGACTTTCTGAATCAATGACCCTCTTGGGAGCGAAAGACAACAGGACCAAGAAACAGTTCCACTTTGTCACCAACAGGGGCCTCAGTTCTGGTCTGTATAAAATAAAATGGACAAGAAGGCTTAGGCCAGTTGCAGCTCAGCTGGAACTCAGTATCTGAGAAACAGTGTCACTCACGTGACACTTGTTGAGTCCAGCTTGGAGGGGGAAGGGAGAGGAGGGGTGGAAGAAGATAGCTTTCCTCTACCCCATACTACAAAAGAGTTGAAATCTTAAAGTCCAAGTTAGTCCAAGCTGGTCCAAGCAGCCCACCACAGAAGGTAGTAGAATGCAGGTCTTCACCTCCCCTACACTCACCCTTAGATTTGCGATTCTCCTTTCCTCCGCAAATGCACAGAGGACCCCATGCCTTTGGACAGTGTCTCTCAACCTTTTGCTCACTGTTACCATCCTAATGTGCCTTCATAAACATTTTTAATGTTTAAATGTCCCCAATAAAGTTTTAATTTCACACATTATTGTGTGGTTCTGTTTATGCACCACAGGCACAGCTGTGCTTTTGACATGGAGTAAGATTTTCTTTTTGCTCTACCACTGCCCTCCCCCCGCAAAAAAAAAATTTTTTGAATGCCTTTGGGAGAAATACTGTATATCTTTAAACAATGTTTTTCAGTCTTTTTTATTTTCAACTCATGCTCTAGAGCACAAATTGCCTAGCTGTGGTTGAGATCAGAAAGATAAGGAATTATTTCCACTTTCAAAATGGAGGAAATGACACTACTGAATGCTTTTCACACCACACAAGCTCTTCCAAAGATTCTGCTGTGCTCTCATCCTGAAGCTGAGAACTGCTGTATGGAAAATACTGTCTTCGACCCAATTCTCTAACCTAATCTAGAACATTCACTGGGGATGTCAGTTGAGAAGGCTACCATCATTTGCCACAGAGTGTGAACTGTGTGCTTGTGCACTTGAAGAAGCTCCAAGGTAGACAGAGAAGCCCCCTCCCCCCACACTTCTACCTCCTTCACCCACTAGTAGGATCACACTAAATCTGAGGAGTTTGATGTTAAAGAGTGCAAAGCAGGGATTTTGAATTGAAAGCAATTAAGATCCAGCATATTCAAGGACAAACTTTTACCTCTCCCTTAATTGCCTAAAAGAATTTAGATAGGGAGCATGGCCTGGGGAGGGGGGAGTAGGGAAGCCATCGATACACCTTATTTCCATGTCCATCTTCTGTATGACAGGCCACATGTAATTACCAAAAACATGCTCTTTATATCCTCCTGTGAACTACCCTCCTTCCCTGGAGACCCAGGCCCCTATCTGATAAAGCTTGCTTTTGTCTTTATCTTTTCTTTTCTTTTTTTTTTTTTTAAAGATTTATTTATTTGTGCATACAGAACTGGGGCACAGGCCAGAGGCTCAGGGGCGGCGAGAGGATTCACCAGAGACAGAGTGGGGAGCAGAACAGGCAGATCGACGAGTACACTGCCGAGGGGAGCAGCGGGCAGGTCAGGAGAGGTCTGCCACGCCCTGTGGTCACCTCCGGGGCAGGCAGGAATCGAACTTATGCGGAAGTGGCTTTAGCTTCTTAGTGCAGTGCTTGAACCCGCTGCGCCCCCAGGGAGGGCCTATCTATCTTTTCTTTTAAAGATTTATTTATTTATGCATACAAGAACTGGGGTACAGGCCAGAGATCCAGGGGTGATGGTGAGAAGATTCACCAGAGATAGAGTGGGGAGCAGATCCACTGAAATACACTGCTGAGGGGAGCAGCGGGTGAGACAGGAGAGGTCTGCCAGCTATGTGGGTCAGCTCCCAGGCTGGGATCACACTTGTGCTGCAGTGGCTGTGGAAAGCCTCATAGTGCTGCTCTTTAACCCCTTGTGCCAGGGAGGTCCTTGTCTCTTTGAACCTCTCATGCCAATGTGAGAGCCCTAGATATACAATCTAATTATGTTTGTTTTTCTCCTGTCAATCTGTCTTATGTCAATTTCGCATTTAGACAGTCAAAAAAAATGAAGGGTGGAAGATTCTTCCTCCCCTTCCAAACCACCAAGAGGGAAATTCTGGTTGAGAGGCCAGAACTACACAAAATGAGAGGCAGTAGATAGTGCCTGGGGAGGTGGAGGGAAAACATCTATTTAAATTTGCTTCAACGTGCACTAGAAAAACCTCAGCAAGGACACACTAGAAACTAATCTCAGTGATGACATGTTAGGGGAGGACTGGGCAGATGCGGGCGGAGTGGGAGAGTCACTCTTCACTTTCTAGCTTGTCACACATTTTCATTTTTCGACTCTGGATGTGTGTCCCCTCAAGTGACTAAGTATGAATGTTAAATTTAAAAAATAAATTTTAATACCATATTGTTGCTTTTCATGATAAGCTTCTCTGCAGCCTCTTATTTGGGGGCATCAGAAAATATAACTATGTAAATTTTGAGAAATTGATTGGAAGCTATTTCAAACGTTCAGAAATTTAACCGGAAGAAAAGAAAATTATTTCAAACCCTTCCACAAAAACCAGACATTTTTATCCACAGTGAGGGAATGTTTAAGTACAATCAGTATCACTCCAACTCAATGTAAGCACATCCTCATGCATCAAAAGCCTTACACATTCTTAATGACTAATTATTTTCCACTCTAGGGATACTCCGTAATAGTCTTAACTTTCCCCACTGTGAGGCATTTAGATTATTGTCATTTCTAATTCTCCTAAATAATGTCATCTTTTCACCTGTTCATATCTCTGTCAATATATCAGATTTCCTTAAGAAAATTTCTAAGAAACCAAATGTCTGAATAAGAGGATTTGGATATGTTTATGCTCTGTGAAACAAACCACCTAGTTGATTTTCCAAAAGTGTGTATAGATTCATATTTCTACAAACTGGCAGAAGACCAGCTTCACTCCCTCGACAGCATTAGTTGGGCTCATTTCAACTTTATTAGCCGCAATGGTGCACATCTTTTATTGGTGTCTGGTTTTAATAGGAGCCCCTTACTACTCCCCGCATTGAGTTTACATTTGGAACCTAGTTTGTAAAATATATCTTTTCTCTTGTCTAAGACGGACCCATCTCTTCCTAGTTTGTGTTGAAACTGTGAGCACCAGGGTTTAGATTCTGCAGGCTGCCCGTGGCGCACCTCTGGCAACCTGATGTTCTCTCTTGTCTGATCAATACGCTGCATTAATCAATGCACACTATCCACTCATGATCAATTGTTCTTTAATGCTGTTAAATTAGGCACTCTAATATTTTACTTAAGATGTTCACATCCTTTTCAATAAGCTACGTTCATCTATAGCTTGGACTTTTATCTTTTATTGTGTATAATTTTCAGTCTATATCTAATCTAGATGACACTAGCTTTGCCACGTAGTCTCTGTTCTGAATCGCCATCAGCCCCTTGCTGAGTAAATACCAATTATCCTTCAATTCCAACATATATAAAGCACCTACTATAGGAGGCATTACACAAAAAGCCATCAAAGTCACGCGTTTCTAGCTCTCTGAGACTTAAAATCAGTAAATGTGGGATCAGGCCAGGGATGAGCTTCACCAAAGAAGCAGTGTTTCAACTGGGGTCTTCAGGAAGAGCCTTCAGAGGTGCCTGGACATTCAGGAGCACAGAGAACATCACAGTCCAGTGCAAGGCAGTTCAGGGAACACACACTCTGTGTGGAGTGCAAAGCCAGGTAGGAGGAACAAAAAGGGCTCACTGGCTAATGACCCTGGGGCCTCAGTCACCAAACTAACAAGGTCAGGGCGAGGGCAGCTACAAGTAGGAGTCCCTGGTGTGGATGATGATGTAAGTATGTGGGCGCCAACCAAGAATCTGCAATGAGGTGGGGAGGGGGGAGTGGGGAGGGGCGAGGGGGGAGCTTTCACAGAGTGGCCTGGTTCCCAACACTGTTCTCATCTCCCACCACTGACACAGCTCATCTGAATTTCCTCCTGAATCACCTCCAGTACTTTCAGCCACAAAATTCCACTCCTCACTAGGACATAGATTCCATCAGGGCCAGGATTTTTAATGTTCTTTCGCTGACATAGTTTCCACCCTAGTAAGGGACGTGGCCCATGGGAGAAACTCAGTTATTTCCTCAGGGAACAATTTTTGTTTCTTTTCACAAGTTTTATTGATTTGCCAGTCATTTACTTAACATGTAATTTGGGGAGTGCAATTTCACCCCTCTATATGTGCGCATGCTTCACTCACCCTGCACCGCCCTTGTCCACTCCTCTCTCTACTCCCCGCCACCCCTTCCCACCGTTCCACCGTTCCACCCTGACCAGTGAGGAAGCCTTGACTATCCACTTACTAAGTATCGATTGTTCCATAAAGCTGCTCTGCCAGCAGGGTCTAGCTACTGTCACTCCCACCCCCACCTAGTTCCTGAGATCACAGAGTGTGGGAGCTGTACAACTTGACTAAGTACCTTTTCCAGAGTCTTTTCTCCCCTCCCATCCTGCAATGGCTCATGCCAGTCTTTTCTTCCTGAAGCAGCCATTCTGTTGGAAAGCTTTCAGTGAC